TCGGCTCGAAGAACAAACAAATGTAAAATGACTTGCTGTATCGTTGCATCATGTAACACAACTTCATAAAACTCGTGGAATGAGATGTTCAAAAGCTGAGAATGAGGGAAGGCTCAGCTGGCTGCAAAACAAAAATCAAACAACTCAAGACGCCTTTTATTGCATCTGCACTGAAGCGCAAATACACATAATGGCGACTTAACAAAATGTAATTTGATGCAGAAGAAAGTGTTTAAGAAGCTGCTTAAACAAAGGTAAATACTAACAATATTTATTTGGAGAATAACCTAACAAAATTTACGTTTCAACTTCTTTTTTTTTTAAAGTTTTGCACATGTTAAATGAGACCCAGTGCAATTTCCTGAACTTAGTTAACTTTTCTACAATAGAATTTATCTAATGGCACTGTTGGCTTGTCTTCATGGTTTGTGTTTTGCACAATCATGCATCCATAAGCACATGTTAACATGTGTGGATACTGTGGTATGGATTCCTTCAGAATGCTGTTATGCAACATATTCATGTCACTAAAAATATCAACAAATTAAACCAAATCCTGCTCTTATTCATTCAGGTTTAGTAGTAGAGAAATTATTCGCTTTGTGAGCTTCTTGAAGTAAAAAGATGCAAAATTGCAAAATGTAAAATTAAGAGTTTAGTGAATCGGGCCATTTCATAAAGAGTTGGTAACTGAATATTTTTGTGCAAGCAATATTTTTGAGGACATTTAAGATTACTTACAATAAAAAGTGATATTATATGGTCTGATTAATTAACCGTTCATTATGACAGCTCTCAAGTTTTCTTAAGTCCTGGTGCAGATAGGAAGATATTTTCTTGCCTAATATCAAGAGCAAATATTCATCATGGGAATTCTCCTCTTGCTCTGAGACTCTTGATAAGTATAGCCCTGATCTCCCTACAAGCTCTACAGTCAGCTCTTGTTCGGCTGCCCGAAGGTTGCTGTGCTCTGTAAATATACTCCCCGATTCAGTTCAGGAGAGGTTAATTCAGCAAATGTACACCTGGGAAATGGGATGTTCAGATAAATGAGGTTGTAGAGCAACCGCTGGATAGTTCGGGTCAAGTGCTGTTGTCTGAGGGAGTTGTATGGGTACTGTTTGTCCTCTGTTTTTCCATTAGCCCTAAGTTTAAAGCCCATTTTAAATCTGGAACTCTTTGCCTGGAAAGATTAAATGACATAATCGACTCAAATTAAGCCCATTATTTTTATACTACTTGTCCCAAACTGTCATCCATTTTTTTTTTTTCATCTGTATCCATTGTATGTCTATATTTTGAAGGATTTTTTTTAAATGTTAGTTTTCTTTGACTTCTGGTAGCTGTCTCTCATTGATTTTAAATTCACATACAAAAGAGCAAGACCTGTTTTATAGCGGAAAAACACAAACAACAGTCATTTTGACAAGCTAATGTGTTTTAAACCTGAATTTACAGTTGGGGAAGGGGAAACAAGCTATAGAACATACATTAGCATTCATTTGGAGTTGTGTTTCTGTCCCAAGATGAAAAGCAAGCCAATATTCTCCTTTTAGCCCTCTTTTGTTCTCCATCAACTCTTGAAGGAAACACATGGTTCTTTAGCGGCTAAATGCTATATCACAAGCTACTTGCTAACTTTGTCTGTCTGCCATTTGATGCTGCACAACTGGCTCGGCTTTTTAGACCTTCTTTGTTGAAAACAGTGATGCTAAGAGAGGTGAGAGTGAACCTAAACTGTAAAGTTGCAGGTCCATGAAACCTAAATAATGAACTAAAAGATGCTAAAACGCTCCATAGAAATTAGTGGAACTGCAAAGTTCGGTAACATTGCATATTGTCATTTGAGCCTTTGTTAATAGAAAATTATTGATTATAGCAGCTCTAAGTTGCTCAGTTCTTTGAAGAGTCAATGAACCAGATGACAAGAATAGTTTGGCTGCTGCAGGTTCCAGAGAGGAGTCATACATAGTGTAAAGTTAATAAATATTGTGAAATCTTGAGGTAGGTTTCCTGTTTGAAACCTGACATGGCTACACTGTCGATTTCTTCCTAAATTCATCTGAACACCAGTGATAAAAGAGCAGCACAGGAGTGATCTTTTGAGAGCAGCAGTGCAAAGTAAACCCTTATCTGTCAGTTTTTTCTTCCTCTATCTTTCCCAATCCCACGGCATACAAGACAGTAACCTATCTCCTCTGGCAGTATCTCAGGCTTCATTCAGCAAAAATTCAATACAGTAAAGGTGAGATGCATCAGAAAAGGGCAGAAAACACTACGATGATTCGCACACATGAGCAGTACTACAGTTTGCTGCCTCTTGCACCACATTAACTCTCTGCCAGAAGAAATGCAGGCTGGATGTGTGACAAAGTGAGGTACAGAAGACATGAAAACATGAATAAAACAGCTGACACTCTCCAAAAATAAATGCCCCTTGTTCAGCCATCAAATGATAAGAGGGAGCTCTTTTATTTTTCATGCGCACTGCCTATTTGTCAGGGTTTAAACAAAAGTATCGTCAGTAACTTTAATATTTCGCCTAATCTGAATCTTGCTCTGAGGCTTGTTATCTTCTGCAAAACACGGCCGGGGTCAATTTCAGATCATTGCATACGTGATGTATTACAATCTGCAAAAACCCCATTCGAGCACCACCACCAATCAGTTTTGAGAGTTTTTTCGGATGCAAATTGCCAACAGTAAGTCAGAGTTTTATAGAACGTCCAGAAGGAGGAACGTTATGCTGCATTGTCAAGTTAATGCTTTTTATCATGAGTGTTGACAACTGAAAAAGTGACGGCTTTAGAGGCCAGCTCACATCAAAGATGCACCATGAGACACTGAGAAGAATTGAAACTGGTGACAAAAGAATGAAAAAAGGAGATGCTAGAACTGACCGATTTTACATCAGAAGTGTCTTGCTTGAAATGCAGTTTGCTCCCTCCAGTGTCTTCGGTGTTTTCATACTAGTTCCTTGATGGTTTGTTCACATTATACACAGACTGTGACAAATTATATTGTGTAATAAGCGCAATACAAAGGCATCTGAATTTTGCAATCACAGTTTAAAGTTCCTCTCCGGGCATGTTTTGAACCATGATTAATATTTTGTTGAACATGGTTTTTCTCACATAGAAAGTAATGGTGGCACATCTACAGTATGCTTACTTCCTCATTGAGAAAATCTGGATCACACCCTCTCCACCACTGCTGCTTGCGCTAGGTTGACCAGTGAAAGAGCAGATGGTATCAAGATGGTTAGGGAAGGAAACATCGGAGAGACTCGTTTGAGCATCTTTTATTTGTTTTTATTTTAGGTTAGCTAGATAGCTTGTTAACTGGCGGTGGCTGACACAGTGTTAGTGGTTGCGCTAATGCAAACTCTCACCCTCTGTAATGACATAGTTACGGTGACCGGTGAAAGAGCAGTGCATATCAAGATGGTTAGCATAACAGGAAACATCAGAGAGGCTCAACCTCATGTAGAGTCAGACCCAGACTCAGATGAGGACTCTGTTGAAACCAAAATCAGAAACTAGCAGAGTGGTTCCCATAGTTAGCATCTTTCATTTGTTTATGGTGTTTATTAGCTTGTAGCTGGCAGTGGCCGACAGTGTTAGTGATCGTGCTAAGACAAACTCTCTCTCTCTCTCTGTACTGACAAGGTTTCAGGTTTATTTTGCCCCGCCCCTCGTCCCTGCAAGTTAACAGGATTGGTTACTTAGGTTTGTGATGTATGAAACCCCTGGCTGTCTGAATCTGTTTTTATGAGTCATGGTGTTGACAGCTTATTGCGCTCATGATATGTCTTATATAAAAACATCAAAAGGAAGTTAACAAGGTTAAAAACTTGATTTTCATTGGCAGGGGTCTTTAAAACAAATTTGGAGGTTCCTTAGGTCAGTGTTTATGCTTTTATACAATGAGTTAGAGACTGTGGATAGACTGTCCTCTGTCAGTTTGCCAAACATCTAAATATGGTCACATTAACATAACCAGTACAATGGTCCTCACTTAGATTTTCTAAAATTCACCAACAGTCAACACCCAATGCTAAAAGTTACTCCAATTCACAGTGCTGACACTTTTCTCTTTTCTGTTTTTGATTTTAAAATCTATAGTGGCCATAAAACTTTAAGTGGAGCTACGTGTCCAGTTAAGGTCCCTATACTTTTGGCCATATAATGGTCATTGTAATTCAGTCTGATAATACAGGTATATAATGCACAGAGATCCTGCTTAGAGAACCGTCTGATATAAATTGAGTTTACTTATTCCTTAAATCCTACTTAATGCGCTCTAATCTGAATCTTTTATTCAAACCTCTCATATAGAGCAAAGCACCTTCAGGATGAAGTTCAGCTTTGACAGGAAGGTGAAGGACTGCAAACACTTTGAAGTCCAAGGGTTTATACTGATGTTGAACAGTTTTTTTTTTTTTCTTTTTCTTATAGGTTGATTTTTTTTTTTTTTTTTCCATTTTCAGTTATCATCCCCTAAAATGAGGGAAGACTTGAGTCTGCATTCAGCGGTAAACATATTGAGTCGTTAAAGGGCAGGAGCAAATGGAACACAGCAGGAGAGAACAAAAAGGTTTACTTGTTTTTCTCAGGTCGAAAGTAGTCTCGCGGAATTGAGAGTGCCCTCGGAGGGCCGACCTTGGATTTGGTGCTATTACTGTACAACTGCTACACATGGAGCCTGACGGAGAGGATATTGGACTGTGGGTTAGTGCTGGCTAACAAGGCTGACAAACCCAGAAGAGTGGAGGGAGATGAACATAGGGGAGGGGGGCTTAGCGGAGATCTAATGAGATTTGGGGGAGAGACAGAGAGTGTGTGTGAGAGAGAGAGAGAGAGAGGGAGGAAGGGGAGAGACAGAGACAGCAGAAAGGTTAAACTGAGCACTGATGAGTTAGCATGTTTGATGGGGTGTGAAATTGCGGTTAGCCGACATGCTATGATAATTAGTGCCGACTCGCGCAGCTGTGTACTGACCTCTTCCCAGCCTCTCCCATTGGTGTAGGAGATGACATCGAGCAGCGGGTTGGACAGGTAGCCGTCACTGTTGAAGGAATAATCCCGCCCACCGATAGATATGTTGGTGAAGTACCTGAGAGAGGAGACAGCAGAGCAGACGGGTGAAGTAAGAGATGTGTCTTTACCTCCATGCAAGAGGGAATCCATGTAAGGGGGCAAAGGAAATAGGTTCACCGGTCTCCTGTGTGAGAAATATGTCACTTTGGTTTTTAAGTTAGTTCATCGTCATGGTTACAAAAAATAAACACGTGGCCATGGTTAAAAGAAACAATGCTGACTATCAGTTTGAAATGGGAATCGAACAGCGGTTTCTACCATCGACCCCCAACCTCCACCTCCACCATACGCAGACTTTTCACGCTATATAACACCGTCACCTGAACTTCCTCCTTTGCTCTGGTCGACTGTCGCACGCCAAGGCAAATGACAATTACCAGGTGCTCACGGTTGTAATACGATGTAGTTAACTGCAGGTGACTGCTAGGTGCTCTAGAAGTTAACCTGGTTGACTGTAGACAAAGGGAAGCCTCAGGGGTTAGTTGAGGCACCGAGCCAAGGATGTGGTTAAAATGCCCTTATCAGCTCAGATAGTCACGCCGTGAGGAAGACCCAGTGTGGGTTGATTTTTAAGATATTCTCATAAATGCCCTGACTAATGAAGGCAATTTAACTTTATCCTTGGCTCTGCGTGAGTGTACCTGAAGTGAGCCCTGAGGCTTCAGCTGTCTCGCAAAATCGCTAGGTGTCGCTTGGCAACAAAACGTAACTATGGGTCATCGCAAACTGTTTGCACAAACAAGCTATGGGGGTGATTTTTGAGGTAGAACGGTCTCGATTTAAAGCTGACAACAAACAGCAGAGGCTGAGTGAGTGAAGGAGGAGCTGATGGATGCTGGACGGAAGACAAAATAAAGTTTAGGCTAACAAAAGTTTAGCCAAATAGGCTAGATGCACAACAGAGGTGAGCCTAACGCCCTAATAAAAAGCCATCACACCGAGGAAGACTAACCCTGCCTGCTTTGTCACTTTCTGGCTTTTCCTCCACATTTAGCATCTCATCTCGCAATTGTCTAATCTCCATGATGTTCAGGCTTCTTTTGATTTGTAGGTCAATGCTTATTTGCACTATTATCAGGACAAACTGCTGCACAAACATGCAACAGGGTTTTTGGAAACTTACCTAAATCTTGGGGAACACTTTCAGTAACTACTTCTGGCAATTGAATTAATGATGTTCGATCAACGTGTTAACACAGACTAAAACATCAACAACAGAATATCAAGTGAAGTAATCAAAGCAGAGGAAATCAAAGCAGAGGAGGTGGAAGCGAGACCTTCACTGCAGGGACCTAACATCAGGTATTCTGTGCTACAGAGAAAACACATTTCAGTTAATACGAGAGGAAATCACATCGTGGAGGTGTAGAGGCCGCGAGGTGGGAGAAGCAGAGAACCGAGGAGGTGATGACGCAGGGCGGGAGAGAGGAGCCAAAATCGCTAAAATGTCTTCAGCCTAATTTGTGTGTCGCGCAAAAGCTGGAGGTTTGCAGAAAGAGCAGAGCTGAAAGAGAGTAAACACCGAAGGACAAATACTTGAGAATACTTTTAATACCAGGAAAGACAAAAGCAGCCTTGGTGCGGGGGGGGGGGTTTACCTTTGATGTGTTTTAATGAAACATCTACCTTAAAAGCATCTGGAGAAAAAAAAACAACACATCAAAGCATCCTGATGAAACCATCCCACACACTCACACAGGCGACCTCGCTGAAAGAAAATCTCGACAACATCTCAAATAACACTTAATCAACTGCAATCAGCTTCAAAACAGCAAATATGCACAGCAGAAAGCACTTCAAAAACACAGATATACTGTTGTAACTACGCAGCCAAGAGCGCACATCATATATTCTTCCAAGTGCTAAGTTATCAGATTTTCATATCAAAAAAAGAAAAAAAAAAAAAGAAAAAAAAAAAGATATGCGTCACGTTGATAATGCGTGTTGCTGGTATGTTCAACATCAGAGAGATTTTAACCTACAGCCAGATTAGGAGAGCTTTATATGATCTGTTCTGAAAACCAAGTATCTCTCCTTTCCAGGGATATGCAAATAAAAGCAGAGCGATTTCATCAAATTAAGGGCAGAGGAAGAACCGGGCAAATAATGAACAGAGCGACGCCTGGGAGAAAGACCCATCTAAAGACATCCACAGTAAAAAAGATGTCATTGTTTGATTGACGACTGACGCCACCACAGCAAAGAGCAGGTTTCATCAAAACCGACAAATGTCCGCAAAGTGCTATGGACTAACAACCCTGTCAAATCTGGGTATTTTAGAATGAGTGAAGCGCTGCATTTATTAACAGCAGCAGATTAGCAAGGAAGGGGCTGGTGTAGTTGACGGTACTGACACCAGAGACTGAGGTTTGCATCCAAAGTTCTGTCTGTGGTTTAGCCAACAAAACTACTTTGATTAAGAATAGGGAAAGAGCTTTTTCTTTTTTTTTCTGTATTAAACCGGACGTGGATATTTCCTGAACCTTAACCATGTGCTGGGAGAGTCCAAAAAGAACCATGAAAAAAAGTTGAATAATGCTCGAGTCACTACAAGTGGATATTGTGCTGCACGTTCATATATTTTGATGAATATTTTACTGATACATTCAGTATCAAAACATTTGCAACTTGCCAAATACATCAATTAACAGCATATTCTCATTACATTAATAGAAAGTGTTATCATTACTTTTCCTACAAAAGATATTTGCTGTCGTATATTGTGAGGTTATACCCTTATGACTGGGGCCCAATCATCCACAGTGGGATTTGAGTGGAAAATATACCTCCAGTCTCGTGTTGACTTTACGTTACGTATCAAATGCAGTGTGAAGTAGAATTAATGAAAAGCAGCTTTAAAAAGCAGCTTACAGAGGCAGCAAATCAGCGTATTATATGCATGTCCCAGATATCATATTCTGCTTTCTAATAATAAGAGTATGAGCTTATCCCTGCTATTGTACAAGAAGTAATGGTGTTTAGTATTCTGAATATGGATACGTCCATTTCTTCAGGACTTAGGGTCAGAGAGTGAAATGAGATTCAGCTCCTATAGATGCAGATGACTGAAAAGTCACAGTCTTTACTGAACTAGTTGATTCGCTTTGACTCCACTTCCCAGAGGAGTGGGGGTGGGGGGGGGGGGGGGGGTGGGGGGGGGGGCTATGGGGCTCTTTGTCAGCCTCTTTGAATTTAAAAGAAACAGTCAGCTCACTAACTGGTTGAGAGGAAAGCGAATATTTCCTCATGAAGTGCTGATGTGGTCGAGACAGAGAGTGTTTGATATGCAATAGATTCAGGGAGATAAAGACGTGGACAGCTACAGCTGCTTGTCATTATAAACAAACGTTATGATCCAGCAGAAACTCTGGGGGTGAACGGATCGTGAAATTGCACCGTGCACCCTGGGAAACACATGCAAATAGAGCATCAACAGGGAAGTTAACATCTATAAAGTGTTCGGTGGGTACGCGGCACATTGATAAACACCGCAGTGACCATTACATCAAAATAATACTGGAATGTCAATGTGTGTGTAATCATGCAATCTCTGAGGGCACTTTGACAAGACAAAAAAAAAAAAAAAGTGCTCGTGTCTCTGCTTCTCAATTCATGCCCACCCATTCAGTGGATGGAAAGTAGTCAGCAGGAGCTTTGTAGAAGGAGACCGCCAATCTGCCGCTGCACCCACGGTTCCCTGATGCTGCCTGACATCTGGAAAACTCCAGTGTTTCTATTTCACCTGGTTTTTTACCCCCAGAGAAAAATATCTGCCTTCAGGTTCAGGGTGGCACAAGTCTGACGTGTCTCTATCCTTTATTCTTCACCATCCCTCTCTGCCTCTGCTTCCAGCCTCCACCCCCCACCCTCCACCCCCCATCCCTCCTTGGTAGGTACAGTACAGAGGAGAGGAGAGGAGAGGAGAGGAGCAGCGAACCAGAGGTGACAGCAACGAGAAAGTGGAAAGAAAACAGCAGGCGGGGGTGAGGAGGTGGTGAGAGCAAAAGAGCAAAAAAGGGAAGGTGGAAGAAAAAGAGAGAGAGAGAGAGAGAAGAGAGATACTGCAAGAGACAGAGGAGGAATAAGACAAAGAGACAGCAAGGAAAAAAAAAGAAAAAAAAAAAAAAAGAAATGCAACAAAAGAGGGAGACAGGTGCAGGCGGGGAGAGAGTGTGCGATCCAGAGAATGAGAGAGGCACTGCACAGAAACAAGAGCCGCTTCACTGAGAGGGGGAGAAGCATCAAACAGGTTCGCTACAGGCGTCATCCAGCAGCTGCTGCAGTCGTACAGAGGAAGGATTCAACAAATACGTGTCAGAGAGTTTTTAACGCGCGGTGCAACCAGTATCATCGCATTCCTGTTGAATCAGCGGTTTTGCTATTATTTACAGACGTGATCACTCCAGCCCTAAGCACAACGCGCTCTCCAGCTGGGTCAGGGGGGCGCCACCCATTTGATCCTTTGTTGGAGCCAAGATTTCCCAAGATTCATTGCGCGCTGGTAATGAAACCAAACACTGACAGAGAGCCGGAGGATTACACTTTCAAATGCAAGTAAAAGCGGCGAATCGTACAACTGTTAAAATCAGGGGCCGTTAAAATGCAAGTTTTTGTGAAAAGAAGTTATGCGTTGCGTTGCGTCAATGTTGCCGGGCGACAGGAGCCATGCTTTGTGATGCAATGGTAATGGCATGCACAGACGGTGATGCAAAGTTAAAATTCTCCGTATGCCAGACCGTCTCGTTTTCGGCGTCCATCATGGCAACGAAAAAGCCACGCCATCTCCCCACGAAAGATGTGGGGACCTGAATTGGGACACTGATGCATTACCCATCCAGCTGTTTCACATCTGTTGTTAAAGGCATCATTTCGACTACACGTATCCAACAGAAACAATAGCATTAGCTTTATTATAGGAAGCGACAGGGTTTAAGCAGGGTTGGGCGAGATAACGAATATACTCAGTGTATCGCGACCTGGTCCGTGTGGGATGAGGTGAATGACTATCGTGAACAT